GCTAAAAATACCCCCAAAACCCAAACCTCTGCTTGGAGAGTAATGTAATTTATCTCCTGTACATCCCAGCGTCTCCTATCAAACCCATGGATGATTCAAGCCCATTCTTTTAGACGAGGAAATCAGATAAAACTGACGTGATGTTTGTTACAGACAGCCCAGAATGGCCAGACCCTCCCCTGACGATAATTACCAGACTAACTCATGCAGTATTCAGCAGTAACGAGACCAGCTAGCTGCACTGTGTAGTCCTGCTGTTAACTATGACAAACGTCTGGCCCACTCGGTTCTACTAGCCTTTCTCGGGCCTGGGAACAATATAGTGTTTCCGATTACGGTCCTAAAATTTGGTATCGGTACGTAGTAACCCCATAAATATCTGTGTCTGCTCAGTTTGCGAATAGACAGAAAGCATAGTTCTCCTTGGTACTATAGGAAAAGAAACCCTGTATACCTTAGATATACTAAAATTCAGTATGCAAACAACATCGTGAAGGTGTTCAGAGCGATATCTAAACCTTAGGACGCCAACAGACATGATTAATAGAATAAAACATTTTGTTATGTTTTGTAGGCCATATGCCATAGATGTTTATCTCTAGCACAGAGTGATTAATATTGAGAGGACGCTAGCCATCCTTTCAGCAAACCCAAAGAAGCAACGGAGAACGGTAAAATGTTATGAGAACAGTAACAATAGTCTCCCTACCTGTGAAAGAATCGACTCCAACATCTTACAGTCTGCGGTTGAGGAAAGAAACAGAAGTGCGATGTCTCGGCACCTGAAAAAAAATCAACAGAACTAACACCTCGCCCGTCCGCATGCCACTGCAAGTTCCACTGAAGAGTGAAATGGGGTCTCTGATGTCCTTAAGTTTCCGGCCTGTTTACCAGACAAATGTTGCGTGATTCTCCGTCTTAAGTCACACTTGAACTACAGACGGATTCATCTTAAGACGAAATGGTCTGATGATACAGGTGATCAAGAAGGAAATTTAAGGCGTGGATGGAATAATTAGATATCCTAATTTACGTGTATTCAATGTCCAATAGATGAAAATTGCATGCTATAGTATTGTAGTGTTGTAAAATTACGTTTAGGGTTTTTTCTGTTTTTTCTTTCGATGATTAAGATATATTGCAGATAATACTTTATATTTGATCCTTTTTGATACAGTGGCAGCCAGTTAATTGCAAAACGCTTATAAGAAAAAGTCTGCTAATTGAAAAGAATTGTGAAAACCCAAACCCAAACCCATATTTTTGCAGACTTTCTTGGCTTGAGATTCTGAGCCCTACCATGAAGTAATGATAACCAAAAGGCGTAAAATTAACATCTGTGTGATCCAATTAACTCGTACCGTGAGAGTGAGTGTGTGCTTGGCTGTACGCTGTGGTTTAAGTGGTACAGTGGTGGTCATGCTTTCACCTGTTGATCATGCACGCTATCAGGTCATGTCACAGACATGTTCAAGGCTTGTGTGGCCGTGGATCGACGTATAGCGATGGACAAAGCTATATTTGCAGTCGGGGTATTGTTGATCAACAGATATCTATAGGGACTACTTGTATGTACAGCTATAGTAAAACAGGCGATGTCCTTGGTGCTGAAATGGGGGGTCCCTACGTGTAGTCCCCACTATAAGTATACAGTCTACAACAAGGCTTGTATATGCCATGACCGTGGATTGAAATATAGCAATAGACAAAGCTAAATGTAGTACAGTCGGGGCATTGTTGATCAACATATAAGGACTGTGTGGTATGTATGGCTTTAGTAAAGTGGGCGATGTCCTTGGTGCTGAAATGGGGTATCCCTACCTGTAGTCATGTTGAAAGCATTTATATGGCTGTGGACTAAAGTACAGCGATGGACAAAACTATATTTGCAGTTGGGGTATTGTTGATCAACAGATATCAATAGGGACTACTTGTATGTACAGCTATAGTAAAACAGGCGATGTCCTTGGTGCTGAAATGGGGGGTCCTTACAAGTCTCTACTGTAAGTATGTCTTGTATATGGCCGTGGATTCAAATAGAGCGATAGACAAAGCTAAAAATAATAGAGTCGGGGACTTTCTGATCTACATATATCTTAAAGGACTGTGAAGCGGGCGATGTCCTTGGTGCTGAAATGGGGGTCTCTACATGTAGTCTCTACTGTAAGTATATTCAGTACAGTTCTCTGCCACCAATTACAGTAGGGGGCGTCCTCACTAGATAGGTTTAAACTACGCTTTAAATTCTACTGAGATTGTCAGAAATGGGTGTACGTATAGCTATAAGCGGGTGATGTCCTTGGTGCTGTAGTGGGGGTCCCTACATGTAGTCTCTACTGAAGGTATTCAGTCTACCACCAAGTATAGTTCTCTGCCACCAATTACAGTAGGGGAACCATCACTAGATAGGTTTAAACAACGCTTTGAATTTGCTGAGATTGTCAGAAATGGGTCTACGTATAGCTATAAGCGGGCGATGTCCTTGGTGCTGATATGGGGGTCCCTACATGTAGCTGTAAGTATTCAATACAGTTCTCTAGCACTAACCACAGTAGGGGCATCCTTACTAGATACGTTTAAACAAAGCTTTAAATCTGCTGAGACTGTCAAAAATGGGTCAACAGGTTAACGAAGTAACCGGTGTCCTGGTGGATGTGAATATTCCGAACCTTGTTAATTCCTCCCGAAGCAGCTTGCCGTGAAATTGTCCGTTGCCGAAGCGCGGTGGCTGAGAAAATTAAAACAAAAGGCGGCGCGACTAGAATCGCCACATTAGGTAAAACTGTCCCGAAGCGGAGGCGTGCGTCTGGTTCTTTAGGTTCCGTCCGGCGAGTTTTGCGTATTATGGAGATACAGCATTACTGGGGCAGTGGTGTTAGTATGAGTCCTAAACACAAGGCGTCTTACAACAGGCTCGCCTGGGGCATGAGGATTTATCCCAAGGTACGTGAAACCGTCTCCCGGGTTCTGTTCGCTTGTCGGCCGTTAGCGGGGCATTGCGGCCGCGACTATGTGAGTAACACATCGTGTGTTAGATTCAACGTAGTTTTCGTAGGTAAAGAACCGTGTATTTCTCTCTACCGACTTTTTCGTGGTCTATCTACATGTACCGCATAATGGAAAGCCAATAGACAGATAGTTCGCTGAAACGTCGGTAGAAAGAAAAGTAAGGTTTGTACCTACAGAAACTGTTGAATCGATTTACCAACCTGATGAAACTGTTTACGGGTACCGTGTGTTAGAGTTCTGATTTGATGTAAGGTATTTTTGGATAAAACCTTGTTAAGGTTACGTCTATGAAATTCTGTCCGCCATCTTTGACATATACCTTGCCAAGAGGCCGGTCAATGTCACTGAAAATGTGTCGTGTTACCTCCAACCGTTACAACAACAAGCATTTCTAACGTGTACTGTTCCTGTTTTCTAGAATAAGATGCTGATGAAGCAAAAGTGGCACTGTACATGTAATGTTGGTGAAGTAAGATGAGGAAGATCCATATGTAGTATCTCCCATAAATCATAACTACTAGTATATTAACCCGCCACTATTCGTGTTTTCCAGAACAAGGTGCTGATTAAAGGCGGGACCGTGGTGAACGATGACCGGTCCTTCAGCGCTGACGTCTACGTGGAGGACGGCATCATCGCGTAAGTATCATCTTACCTGTAGCTGTATCATCTTACCTGTAGCTGTATCATCTTACCTGTAGCTGTATCATCTTACCTGGAGCTGGATCAATTTACCTGTAGCTGTATCATCTTACAAGGTAGGCTTATGGTTTGTGTTGGAGACCTGTGGTCTTGTGGTTGTGGTTTGTATTACTTAGAATCTAAAGGGTCTGGGTTCGAATCCCTTGTAAGGTCCAACGTTGTGACCCTGGCAAAGGCACTTCACTCATATTTCCTCACTCAACTCAGGTGAAAACAAGAGTTCCACGATCTCATACCTTCGCCAAATGATGTTAACCCTTGCGGTTGAAGAATTATACAATTTTGATAATTGATTTTGCAAATAAGATCCTCATTTGCATGGGTTATATCAGTTGATCATATTCTCCACCCAATGACAGTCTTGTCTTAACAAAAAGGCTATTATAGCACTTCCTCATAAATTATGCAAATGAGGTCATGATTTGAATAAATTATGTTTATTGATGTTTGCCTTCACATAACTTCCAAATGTGGCAAGTATGAAATTCTCAGCAGTTACAACTATGAAATTATAAAAATTTCCCATTAATTATGCAAATTAGGTCTTCATTTACATAATCTATATCCTCAATTACATGTCACAAGTGTTTCATAGTCCTATTATCGAACAAAGCAGATTTATAGAATTTCCTCATTAATTATGCAAATTAGCTCCTGATTTGCATAATTGTCATTTGATTATGTCAAGCATCCCTTCAGGTACCTACATACCAAAAATCATGACAATCCGTCAACCGGTTCTTGAGTTATCATCCTTCGAAAATTTTTCAACAAATGCTCCTGCAGTTCCAGAACAAGCCACTAGGGGGCCCAAACTCATGTCACTTCTTCCCTACCTCAAGAGCTATCTACCAACCAAAATTCATGACCCTAGCATGTCCAGATCGCAAGATATCAAAACCGGAAGTTCTGCTGCAGTACCAACAAAAGCCGCCAGGGGGCCCAAAATCTAATCATTTCTAGGTCTCATCAAGACCTACCTACCTACCAAGTTTCATGACAATGCATAATAAGCTTCTTGAGTTATGCTGTTCACAAACAGACAAACAAACAGACAAACGCTACTGAAAACATAACCTTCTTGGCGAAGGTAATGAGTAGTAAGACTGTACAGGAGTAGTATAATTTTGCTCAACAGATATCTATAGGGACTGTGTTGTTGTAAGCATGGCCAGAGTAAAGCGGGCGATGTCCTTGGTGCTGAAATGGGGGGTCCCTGGTAAATTTATGTCGTCCACGGTGTGCTAAATACCTCTTCATCCATAGCAAAACATTGCTGCGTGCCCCTGCTTTGAAGGACTCAAAATAGCGCACGGCCCGTATATAGTACATGTGTGTCTGTGGGCGATGTCCTTGGTGCTGAAATTGGCAATCCCTAGTCTATACTGTAGTGTACGTATGTAATCTATCAGTACCATTAAATACAGTAGGGATATATACATAACTAACTCTGTGTGAACTTTGCAATGCCTATAGCTAAATACCCCACCTTCTCTAGTTGGCTACCTCTTAAACGTGGAAGTCTGCATGGCAGAGAACTACGTTTAAGGATAGTGTTTTACCTGTTATTGTCGAGTTGTTCAACCATTTATGATGAAATTTTAATGTGTGTCATGCCCCAATTTAGCCATGTAATGCTACAATGATATGTGTGTTGTACATAAACCAGTATCTATATACAGATGAGTTAAGATGTCCCGTGATGTCTCCCCAGGCAAATCGGACATGACCTGAGCGTGCCGGACGATACCATTGCGATCTCTGCGGAGGGGAAGCTGGTCATCCCGGGAGGGATAGACACCCATACCCACCTGCAGTTCCCCAAGAATGGACTCACCTCCGTGGACGACTTCTCGCAGGGCACCAAGGCCGCGGCAGCCGGAGGAACCACCATGATCAGTAAGGCATTTCAGTTGGAAATTTTGAAAAAATAAAGAGAGATTTCAAAAGGTAATGCTATTGAGTTGCCCTGGCTGTCAGGGTTGAACTGCCAAACAAATAAACCAAAAAAAAAATAAAACTAATGCAGCACGACATACCATTTTCCCTGTCTGGATGACGGACGCATAGCATGTCCATATTGTGCTACATCTTTTTGGAGGCTGGAAGAAGCACATGTCCCTACCCCGGGCCAGCCAGCGTAGGGGCCAAGTCGTAGAGGCTTTGGTGTACATTTTGCGCCATGGTAGACAGCAGTGTTGTTGAACAATACTGAGGACACATGTGTAAATGTTAGAGATACATGGCATTTCTACATGTTGTGCTTTCGTCTCCTTGTCCCAGTCAACTGTCTAAAACTGGACATTTCTCACTGCAGCCTGATCAAATCGTACCATGTGTTGTTGAAAAATAGTGATATAAATATCATAATGATTGTCATGAGCATTCCTAACGTGTACATGTTGGGTTCCTCATTTTTCCAGTCGACTGTGTCCTGGACAGTTCTGACTGCAGTCTTGTAGAGGCGTACGACAAGTGGCGAGCCATGGCAGACGACAGCGTGGTGGGAGACTACGCACTGAACGTCGCCATCACCAAGTGGGACAACAAGGTCAAAATTGACATGGAGAAACTCGTGCACCAGCGAGGTGAGTCTCCACTTGCATAGATTGAAATAACCGCCAGGTGGCGCAAACGTACCGTTAACGAGTTGACACTGTAAAAGCGAGACTAGCCATCACCAAGTGGAACAACAAGGTCAAGATCGACATGGAGAAACTCGTGCACCAGAGAGGTTAGTCCCACTTGTTCAGTTTAAGTGCATAGATTGTAATAACCACCAGATGGCGCGCGTGTACCGCTAACGACATTGTAAAAGAGTGCTAGCCATCAATAAGTGTGACAACAAGGTTAAAATCGACATGGAGAAACTCGTGCACCAGCGAGGTAATAGTTCAAGCTTTTTTCTGTAATGTGCTACCGTAAACAATAGCCTGGGTTGTAACATTACAATAACACTCCTGGCTAATCATTGGTTTATAGTAACTGCAAGGTTCTAGCTACAAGTAGAAACCCTGGTGGTGGAAAGAAGATGCCGGTGTACTCTTGTTTTCAATGAATGGAGGTTGTTGTCAGTGACTTGTTCCGTTGAAGTGCCAGATGGCGCAAATGTACCGCTAACAAAAAAAAGAATGCTAGCCATCAATAAGTGTGACAACTAGGTTAAAATCGACATGGCGAAAGTCGTGCACCAGCGAGGTTAGCCCCACTTAAGCTTGTTCAGTTTAAGTGCATAGATTGAAATAATCGCCAGATGGCGCGCGTGTAAAGTCATAAAGAATTGACACTGTAAAAGCGCTGGTCATCACGAAGTGAGACAATAAGGTAAATATCGACAAGGAGAAATTCGTGCACCAGTGAGGTTAGTTCACCACTTGTACAGTTTAAGTGAAGAGCTTCAAATCTCCGCTAGATGGCGTGCCAGTACCGTTAACGGATTGACCGTTTGACACTGTATATCGGACCATGGGACAAAGTACCTGTAAACCTGGTGTGTGACGTGTCAATACAGATACAGATGCGGATGTTCCGTTTAAGTGCATAGCTTCATATCTCCGCTAGATGGCGCGCCTGTACCGTTAACGGATTGACACCATATAACCTCTAACCATGGGACACTGATATAGATACGGATGTTTAATTTCAGTGCAGAGTTACAAATATCCGTTAGGTGGCGCGCCCGCACTGTTAAAAATTTGGCACCGGTACACCCTGGTACACTTTGCACATACATATTCTGCCAAACACATCTTTATCCATAGCAAAACATTGCCGGTTCCCCCCGCATTTAGAGACTGCAAAAAGCGCACAGCCACACAGCCGGTGTACAGTAGCTGTGTGTCTATGGGTGATGTCCTTGGTGCTGCAATTGGCAATCCCTAGTCTGTACTGTACTGTACGTATGCAATATACCAGTACCAACAAGTACAGTAGGGACATCCTCACCAGATGGAGAAAATACAATAGGTGAACACAATCCTTAAAACTTTTTATTTTCCTCCTTCAGGTGTGAACGCCTTCTTAGTGTTCATGTCTTACAAGGACAAGTGGCAACTGACTGACTCTGAGGTGAGTTTTAGACTGCAAAATGTGCTACAGGGTAATATGTATACATGTAGTCTGACTACATCATGCGTCTAGCAACCCTTTTTATTAGGCCCATAGAGGTTGATGGTCAACATCTATACGTCAAGACAATTTGAAGCATCTTGGTAATGTTGCATTAAGCTAATGTGCTAACATAGATCAATTGTTGTAAGACTGAGAACCGACTGTTACGACCTATCTAATCGGCCCGTGGCAGCAATAGCTTGTGTAAAACCTTGGTCTTTTCGCACTAGTCAATGTCATGACAGTAACAATGTATAGGCGGCGCTTTTTACATGTCATGCTTTAGTGTTTTCTCCTATTATAACTCATACCAATTATTATCATTACCTTATTTTCATTGTCATTAACTTATACCATACATTATTTCATTATCCTTATTGTATTATTTCCATTTTCTATTGTATTATTTCCATTTATTAATTATATTTAATTTTGTGTAGTTTAGAGGAGGAGGGCCTAGTATAAGCACGCCATGCTTCTCCCCTCCTCCTGCACCTGTTTTATCATTGTTTTTATATTATTATTGTCCGTCTTGTTAATGTGCAAACAATAAAATAAAAAAAAAGTAGATGAAACAGTTTACTGAAAGAATCCATCGTAGGAAGCAAAGCCAATCATGACACTATCTTTATGTGCAGAAATGTACTACATACCTCTATTCCTAACTTCAGACATCCTAACAGCTAGTGTTCCCATTGTTCCACAGCTGTACCAGGCGTTTTGCCACATGAGAGACCTCGGTGCGCTTGCGCTGGTCCATGCTGAAAATGGTGACGTCATCAAACAGGTAATACACACCCGTTTTTTGAAGTCTGAGATTTGGCCAAGACTTAAAGTTTTCTGTTGTCAAATCTACTTCATTTGAAAAATATTACCATGTAATGGACGATTGAAGCCCATTCCCAACTAGTTTTGTAACTGTCATTATAGAAATTAGGTCAAAGAATAAAGCTGTTTCCGAAAAACTCTATCTGAAGCATGCTCTCTGCATGTTACGGCATGCTGTACTATTTTGCTTCGCATGGTGGCGCTTTTACACAACTAACTTGGATTGAAGGGATTGTATATGTTTTCCTCGCTGGTTTTTACGGTGCAAGTTTTTGATGGTGTTGGTTGCATACCTTCAGTTTTGAGTTATTAGTTACTACATGTATAAAGGGATAAAAAAATATAAGAAAAAATCGAAAATTGTCCTGACAAGCATATGTAAAACAAAGAAGGTATAGGTAGGGATACACACAGGTATTGCAGCCATTTTGGTGGAGAGTCTTGTACATATTGCTTTCTCTGCTTAGCACTCAGCATTTGGGGAAGAGTATGGGAGTTAAACACACACCACTACCAGAAGGTTAGCCCCCCCCCCCCTGCTGTAGTGATTGTTGTGTGTGGCCCAGGGCTATTGAAAACGGAGCTGGGTACCGCCCTATGCGTCACTTAATGCGGAGAGGCTCTTTAACTTTAGCTTAAGTTGGTATATGGTACAGCCCAGTTCGCTTGACATGTTTAACCAAGGAGATGTAAAGAGAGCTCCCGAGTCCACTTATTTCCTGTACCACACGAGGACCAACAGGACCAGCGAGGCGCATTAAAAGGACTTAAAGTTATCTATGCCGCTGAACCTGCCCGTTCCCTTTACCCACACCGCTACACCGCGCCTCTCATGTGGCTACTCTGTCCTTCAAGATCCATTTTTAGTCCCTCAGACCGCATTTGTTTACCTTGTTAATGGATTGTCAGTGAGTGACCTAGATGACCGTTCACGTTTACACTGATGACTCTGGTCACATCAAGGCAATGATCTAATCCAAGGACACTGCTAATACTTCCATTTTTTTTACTTTGGCGATCTCTAGTGATCCAACTTATAACGTATAATACAGTTCAACAAAAAACTTGAATGAGGACACCTTCATTTTCAATGTCAATTCTGGAAACCTTATTGAACAATGTTTCATCATTCAGATGCCAGATCATGGAGCTAGAAAATATCGGCCAGCTCGGAATATCTATAAATCTTTGTCCCTTGCAGGTGTCCACCAAAAAGGCTAGGGTCGGCACTTTTTTCTAGGGTTGGTTGGGAAACAGGAAACACAATTTTTCCTAGACCTTACCTTGTTAATTGATTGTCAGTGAGTGACCTAGTTGATCGTTCACGTTAACACTGATGTCTCTGGCCACATCAAGGCAATGATCTAATCCAAGGACACTGCTAATACTTCCATTTTTTTTACTTTGGCGATCTCTAGTGATCCAACTTATAACGTATAATACAGTTCAACAAAAAACTTGAATGAGGACACCTTCATTTTCAATGTCAATTCTGGAAACCTTATTGAACAATGTTTCATCATTCAGATGCCAGATCATGGAGCTAGAAAATATCGGCCAGCTCGGAATATCTATAAATCTTTGTCCCTTGCAGGTGTCCACCAAAAAGGCTAGGGTCGGCACTTTTTTCTAGGGTTGGTTGGGAAACAGGAAACACAATTTTTCCTAGACCTTACCTTGTTAATGGATTGTCAGTGAGTGACCCAGTTGATCGTTCACGTTAACACTGATGTCATGTCTGTGGACACATCCAGGCAATGCTTTAATCCAAGGACACTGCTAACAGCTACAAATGTATGTCCCTTGCAGGGGACCACCAAAAAGGGTTGGTTGAGAAACAGGAAACACAATTTTTCCTAGACCTTACCTTGTTACTGGATTGTCAGTGAGTGACCTAGTTGATCGTTCACGTTAACACTGATGAATCTGGTCACATCAATGATCTAATCCGAGGACACTGCTAAAGCTTCCAATTTTTTTTTACTTTGGCGATCTCTAGTGATCCAACTTATAACGTATAATACAGTTCAACAAAAAAACTTGCATTCACCTTCATTTTCAATGTCAATTCTGGAAACCTTATTGAACAATGTTTCATCATTCAGATGCCAGATCATGGAGCTAGAAAAGATGGATTGTTAGTCAAGTGACCTAGTTGATCGTTCACGTTAACACTGATGTCATGTCTGTGGATACATCCAGGCAATGCTTTAATCCAAGGACACTGCCACTACTCCCACAAAACTTTCCTCCTGTCCAGGCAGATTTTTCATTTTTTTTAAAATCTATGTCAGCTCTCACTCAGCATTAACAGCTGGGCTGCCTAGACAGAACGCTGTCAAAGTTTCGCGTCGAGGAAAGAATTTACTTCCCTGTTCAACTTCTGTCTTTAAAATTTTAAACAAAGTTCTCTTCATAAGCAATCATAAAGAACTATCAAATATGATGTATAAACGTTTAGAGCATACGGAAATGGTCACCAATAATAAGCATTTCATACAATATTTTTGTGCTATTGTGAGGTTTATTAATCACTTTCCATGTTAGTCAAAGAGCCAAAGAGACACTCGTTCCTTCTCACACGTTCTTTTCATATAATCTATCTTTTTTCTCCTAAATTGATCCAGCCTGTGCATGTATGAAGGCAAATTCTGTATTGTGCTTGCGTGTATAAATCACCACCTTTCTGTTATCATTCTCATTATAAAAACTATAAAAACATAGATTGCACGAACAGTTTGATTTTCACCATGTAATTTACCATATAACGTACTCTGGTAAACCTTCACGCCATTATAATTTGTCACTGCTCCTATGATGTAGGCACTGAGATCGCTCCAGCACCTTTTCCCTGAGCCCGCGGTCGGCCATGATGCGCACTGAGGTTTCTTACTGAGGAGCGAATTTTTATCACAAACCTGTGTATATATAATCATATTTTCCTCAGTATATCATTTTCCTTCGTTTAATACATGGATTGAATCGATCAAATATGCTTTAAGTATAAGGCTTTGCTGAACTACAGTAAATCTGAAGTCATAACATAAAGTTCTAGTGAGCCTAAACGTTGAAAAGGTGATGATACTCATCAATTGAGGCCTTGTTCGTAAGATACAGAGCTGTTTTATGAATAGAAATATAGAAATATGACAACTGTATCGCATCTTCTGCTATATAGCAACAAAAATACTATTATAGATACAAAAGTCTATAGTGAAATACACATATCAAACTATCCTAACACATCTAAATCAACTCATCTAAATCAATTCCTGTAATCTAACGGTTGTTTCTTTAACAACCATAAAACAGCAGTTAGAAGCTAAAACGACTCATTACCGAAAGTGACTCCGTTTGTATCGTACTATGTGGTCCATGTGGATCGAGAAACAAGGTATCATAAATCCATTAGCGCTGTTGTGAAGCGGGTTGTTGAAAGAATGTCAGGCCTTTATGATCCGGAGGTTTTGTGGAAATGTCGTCTGGCTCTAAACCGTTCCCTCGGGTGTGGTAAAGACGCGTTCCACTTTAGACGTGGTCACAGAGCGCTCTGTATACGTGAGGGTAATACTGATTATATTGGGTATACATGATTGCACGAACAACTATGAAACGCAGTGTAACGGAAAATGAAAAGAAATGTGTGGCACTGGAAGACAGACGAAAAATGTCCACATTATGCATGATGTACAAAATGACTAATAAACTGGTGGACGTGCCAACCACTAAGTATCTGATACCAGCCCAGAAAAGAACAAGAAATAGCCATGCCTTCAAGTACCAGTCTGACAGTTATCAACAAAGAATTTACGTCCAAAAACTCGTATTTCCCCAGAACTATCATAGACTGGAACTCGTTGCCACCAAGCACAGTTGGGGCATCATCACAAGAAAGCTTTAAACAACTCCTGCAATTAAATGTGCAAAGTGATTGGTCACTCATTATCCTGATGAAGGCGACAGTGGTCTCTGTTTAATATTCGTGTTGGAATAAAGTTCAACATTTTACTAAAATACAATGATGATTAGGTATTGTGTCTATAATTATGATAAGGAACGATCTACTTTTTCCCAGGGCGAGGACGAGATGATCAAACAGGGAGTCGTCGGACCGGAAGGGCACGAGCTCAGCCGACCGGAAGAGGTGGGTGACCTATGACCTTAATTCGGTGACCTATGACCTTGATTTGGTGACCTGTGACCCATGACCTTGATTTGGTGACCTATGACCCATGACCTTGATGTCCTTAGTTGAGCGACCCTACAATACAGTTGGCATTCTACTGTCTAAACCACAACAAAAGATAGAATTGAAAAGATGATCAAAATTAAGTCGTGCTACCTTGCGATGACATCATGTCTGTATCCAGGACTGTGCCTATCTTAGAGATATATACCTGAATGTGTAACGGTTAGGATAAGGCAAGGTTCTGGATAGACTCCGCATATCCAACAACGTAGATTTAGCCCCGGTTCTGGATACAAGTGGACAGAACCGTGGCTAAGCACAGTTCGGGATACAACACTGCATGCCTGTCCTGTCCACCAGGCGATGTCCTTGGTGCTGAAATTGAGGATGCTCAAGGCTGGCATACAAAAGTACTACATGATCCTCAACTCGCAAGATATTTGCGAGTTTCAAGACACTTATGACAATATTTATTCATTTTCAAGCCATTTTAAGACGGTTTTGATATTTCACTAAACTTTCAGGTGGAGGCTGAAGCGGTTCAAAGAGCCATCACCATAGCTGACCAGGTATGTGTGAAATTTCAGTCCAGTCTTACACAGCTTGTAGATTTCCAACCAAATCTTTTAGTGGTTAAAAAATATAAAATTGACCGGACAGTGTATAATTACCATTTGCTAAGCAGTTGCGGGCGAAAAACAAGATATCAGTACAAAAACAAAGCCTGATAAAAACACCTAAAACACATCAAAAATAAGCCGAAGCCTATGGCCTAAACCTCTGCCTGGAGAGTGCGAGTAGCAGCTAAGTCCTCACTGTACAAAACTGGTGCCTCAAGGCCGCTTAGCGCTTATGTGAAAAAAAAACCAAAGATGCCGACACAAGACTTTTATGATAAAAGAAGCAATCAAATTGTAATTACTTGGTAGAACGTTAGTAGCCAATTTGTGCAATACCTTAGGACATGCCTTTGATATCAAGCAATTTTGCTTGCTTTGTCCAATGAAGCTACTTCAAAGCTACAAGTTTACTCTAATGTATGGCAATGAATGAAGAGACTCTTTCTTACACAGCCAGGTGTTCCATTTAGCCAACGTTTCGGTGACTGTCTGTCAACTTCCTCTTACCAACCTGATGATTTTTTTTCACGGAAACGTCTGACAATCACTGAATTGTTAAATGATGTTCTGTGAATGACGTGTTTTTCACACAGACTACCTAGTGTTTAGAGAGCCTTCATTATGTTAGAAATTGAATGACGTTAGCAACGTATGTTTAGTACGAAGCTATTAAGTGATTTTGCTTTGTACAATGAAGCTAATATAAAATTCCATATACTACACGTAATGAACTAGTATACATCCCTTTCTGTTGTTCTGTGAATGACGTACTTGTGCTGATTGCCGCCCCCCTCCCCCAGGCCAACTGCCCGCTGTATGTTGTCCGTGTAATGAGCAAAGGGTCCGCTGACGTTATAGCTGAGTGTCGGAAGAAAGGTAAGGAGTACTGAGAAATGAAATCCCTTGATATCCGTAATGATGAGTGGAGTTTGAAGCCTATCGGCAATATGATACAGCTAATGGACTGACTTTTATGTGAATGATGATAATGACAACAAAGCGCAGTACGAAAATAGTTTCATTACGTTATAAAATCACTCTAACTCTTTCAACTTTAGCTGGTGTGTTACACCGAAGGGTGGTTATACCGGCTATACAGATACAGATACAGATACAGAAACTCATGTTGATAATGAAAGATACACGCGTGGCAGCCTGAAACGACCCTTTAGATAATCTATCCAGTTGCTTGATGTGTTAACTTTGGTAGAAAGTTATGGTTTTGGTAGCGTTTGTATGTATGTATGTATGTATGTATTGTATGTATGTGTGTATGTATGTGTGTATGTATGTGTGTATGTAAGTCAGTCAAGTATGCATGTGTGTGTGTGGTTTATTACTATGACTCAAAAAGCCATAGATGGATTGTCATGAAACTTGGCAGGTGGGTACATGTAGGTCTTGGTGATGAGACCTCGAAATGGTTTAAAAACTTTGCCAGCTTGTTATGGTACTGCAGCGGATCTTCCAGTTTTCATATCCCGTTTTGTGAAGTGTTCCAGTGGTGAGACAGGCAGTACAGAAATCTTGTATTTCTCGGCATTTGTTTTCAGGCAACATTTTACTGACCAAGGAAGAAAAATTACAGAAATATCTTACTTAAACTATACATACTAATGTGAACTACATTTACAGGTTCAACTTCTTTTCGCTTCTTGAGGCAGTTGTAGATGTATGAACATATGCCGAAGCTAATAATACATGGTTTGTCAAGTTTCATAAGGAATACGAAGTTCCTTTTTTTTTTGTCTAAAAGTCCAAAGCTGGGAAACTTATCTCGTATTGATGCTATTGTGCTAATGATACATGGTTTGTAAGTTTCATAAGAAATACGAAGTTCCTGTTTTATCTAAAAGTCTAACGCTGGGAACCTTATCTTGTATTGACGCTCACTACGTCCCCAGTAGGTTTCCTAGAACTGCCCTCCCCCGCTCCAGTGCGTACACAAGGTGTATACATATGCCAGAACTAATGATACATGGTTTGGCAAGTTTCATAGGAAATACGAAGTTTTATCTAAAAGTCTAACGCTGGGAACCTTATCTTGTATTGACGCTCACTTCGTCCCAGGAGGTTTCCCAGAACTGCCCTCCCCCGCTCCCGTGCACACATAGTGTGTATTGACTGTAGATTCTGGAATATTCCATCTAGACTTGGCAGTGAGTTGATAGAGTGGCGCATGTTTACCCAAGAAAGAGAGTGAAGCGGTAAATTACGCAGGGAAAGGCGTCTTGGGGAATTAACAACAAAAGCTGTTTTCGCTGTGACGATGCAGGCTACATGCTTCATGGAAGGGCAGGATGAATGGGGGTAAATTTGTTTTGCGAGTATGACGTAAATGCCTTCTGCTGACGTGGGAGTAGTCACGATTCATACAGGGGGTTTACTTTGGTATTGACTTTGTTATAGCTTTACAGTATGTCCTGACTATATACGATGTACGACTATAGTATGTCCTGACTATATACGATGTACAAAATGACTCATAAACCGGTGGACGTTTCAACTACTATCTGACACCTGAGCTCAGAAAAGGACAAGAAAGAGTTTTGCCTTTAAATATCGGAGTTATTAACAAGGCATTGGGGTAGCAACTTTGGTATTGACTTAGTTTTAGCTTTATGTCCTGACTATACATGATGTACAAAATGACTCATAAACTGGTGGATGTACCGACTGCCAAGTCTCTAGTACCTGAGGGCCGAAATCAATCTTCACCAAAAACACCACTTCTTATACTTTTCAGCCATACTAGTATATCATTTCAAACCAGATTAGGAGAAATCTGAACTCAAACTTGACTGCTCAAAACCCTTTCGTCTCTTTTTTTTTACCGCGGACTATCGGTCGCGGAAGAACTGGGGTGTGTACCGTTAACATTTCCACAACTTATGTAGTGTATGGAGAGCGCATGGATTGTGTCAAGATTGAATTCAATTTTAACACATATTTTCCCCAGGCTATGTAG